GAGCCGGTTCACCAGGTGGCTGCAAACCTGGCCAGGCCCGGCCTTGGAGTCTGGCCCCCGCCCCCAGCCCCTAATTGGCTCATTTGCCGCTGTGTAAACAAGGGCGCAGCCCCTCCCCCTGTTTAGAGACTGGCCTTTAAGAAAACGAGTCCTCCCTTCTGCCGGCGGCACTCGTTATCTGAATCTTAATGAGGTCATTAGCATCCCTTGCCTCTGACGGGGAGGCACCGGGTCCATACACACCTCTTTTGGACTTGCTTGCAACCCCTGAACCCCTTCTGTGCAGGGCCTCGGGCCCAAGGGTGTGGGTACCAGTGCCAGCGACCCAGCCCCAGGCTGCAGGCAGAGGCAGGGTTGTGGGGAGCGCCAGTTCAGGTGCAGACATCCGAGGGGAGGAGCCCTTTGGAGAAGACCCTTTGGGCAGATAAGGTTTGGTGCTGGCATAAAGCAGGACTCTAGGACTGGACCGAGGTGCCCAGCTGGCAGCAGAGGCGACCTTCTGCCCTGAGCTCTTGATTCCTCCGGGTTGTGCTTCACCGAAGGGGGAGTGTCACCACAGGTTGGGGCATAGCGAGAGAGGAGGTGACCCTGAGGCTAAAAGCGCTGCCCTCTGTTCCCTCCCCGCAGGGAACGGCAGGAACAGCTGATGGGATATCGGAAGAGAGGGCCGAAGCCCAAACCGCTGGTGGTGCAGGTGAATACACTCGCTGGCCCTGGCAAGTCTTTCCCTTGACAGTGCCACCTGAACTCCCACCAGGTCCAGAAGGCGGGGGTGGGGGGTTCCTCCAGAACACACCCAATTCCACTTCCTTTCATCGACCTCCCATGCCCTGCCCCGCCCCCTCCCCATAACTCAGCTGGCGACCTGGTGAGGGCTGGGACACTCCTGATGCTCGAGACTTGCTCTGGGGCTGGCCTTACCCCTCCTCTCACTCCCCCCTGCGTCCCACCCCGTTCCCCCAGGTACCTACCTTTGCCCGTCGTTCCAATGTGCTGACTGGACTCCAGGACTCCTCGGCTGACAACCGTGCCAAGCTGGAGCTGGGTGGTCAGGGCAAGGGCCAAGGGCACCAGTATGAGCTCAACAGCAAGAAGCACCACCAGTACCAGCCGCACAGCAAGGAGCGGGCGGGCAAGCCCCCACCGCCCGGCAAGAGCGGCAAATACTACTACCAGCTCAACAGCAAAAAGCACCACCCCTACCAGCCAGACCCCAAAATGTATGACCTGCAGTACCAGGGCGGCCACAAGGAGGCACCCAGCCCCACCTGCCCGGACCTAGGCGCCAAAAGCCACCCACCCGATAAGTGGGCCCACGGCGGGGGGGCCAAGGGCTACCTGGGAGCTGTGAAGCCCCTGGCCGGTGCGGCCGGGGCTCCAGGCAAGGGTTCTGAGAAGGGTCCCCCCAACGGGATGACGCCCGCCCCCAAGGAGGCGGTGACGGGCAACGGGATTGGGGGTAAAATGAAGATCGTCAAAAACAAGAACAAGAACGGGCGCATCGTGATCGTGATGAGCAAGTACATGGAGAACGGCATGCAGGCGGTGAAGATCAAGTCCGGTGAGCCGGCCGAGGGCGAGGCGCGCTCCCCCAGCCACAAGAAACGAGCTGCTGAGGAGCGTCACCCCCCGGCCGACAGGACTTTCAAAAAGGCTGCAGGGGCTGAGGAAAAGAAAGCAGAAGCGCCCTCCAAGAGGAGGGAGGAGGAGGTGCCCCGGGCCGTTGACCCGCAGCCCCAGGAGGCCGGCTCCCGAAAGCTCTCCCCTACCAAGGATGCTTTCAGCGAGCAGCCCCTGCAGCTCACCACCAAGCCTGACCTGCTGGCTTGGGACCCCGCCCGCAGCACACACCCGCCCTCTCACCACCACCACCACCACCACCATCACCACCACCACGCTGTCGACCTAAATCTCTCCCACGCGCGCAAGCGCTGCCTTTCGGAGACCCACAGCGAGCGAGAGCCCTGCAAGAAGCGCCTGACGGCGCGCAGCATCAGTACCCCCACCTGCCTGGGGGGCAGCCCGGCTGCCGAGCGCCCCGCTGACGTGCCCCTCTCTGCCGCCCTCCCGCAGCCGGAGGTCATCCTGCTGGACTCGGACCTGGATGAGCCCATAGACTTGCGCTGCGTCAAGACGCGCGGCGAGGCCGGGGAGCCGCCCAGCGCCCTCCATGTGAAGCCCGAGGCGCCTGCGACCACGGGAGTGGCAGCTGCGCCGGCGACAGCGGCCGAGAAGCCTCCGGCCGAGGCCCAGGACGAGCCCGAGGAGCCTCTGAGCGAGTTCAAGCCCTTCTTTGGGAATATAATTATCACCGACGTCACCGCGAACTGCCTCACCGTCACGTTCAAGGAGTACGTGACAGTGTAGCCGGAGGGCGTCGGAAGGGGAAGCACTGTCCCTGGGAGCTTAGCACCCGGGGCCTGGGGGTGGACTCCTCCCTCTCCAACTGCGGGAGATCCGGCCGGCCCCAGCACGAAATGCCCGAAGCCGCAGCAACCGCGTCCTTCTGCGTCCCGCTGTAGGGTCCTGGCCGGGGCGCCGGGCCCGCACTGGCGCCTTCCACGCTGTGCCTGCGGGTCTCGCCCCCCACCTGCCCCATCCCCTCTCTCGTGGACCTCCGGGACTGACAGGGCAACCACACTCGGTGGTCTCAGAGTTATAGTATTATATTTTAACCGTGCTAACTTGTCAAGTGCAGACTTTACTCCCGTTTGTACGTGGTGTTATTGAAATGTATTGTTTGAGCTCAAAAGGCCCACCACCCCCTTCGGGCTGATATATATATATTTATTTGTAGGTATTTATATATTGAAATATAAAAACCTAGATTTATGGAGTTTCCTCTAGATCATGTTATATTCTATATCAGACAAACTTATTTTCTGTTGACCTTTCTACCCATTCATTCAGTATTTCAGTTGATTTCATTTCCTCCCCTTCCAGGAACTGTAATACCAGTAACCTTGGTATATATTTTTTGATACTGTACACATGGATGTGTTGTTTCTATGTGCAAAAAAAAAGTTTGTTAAAAGGCTAAACGAGCTCTCTAGAAACTGCTGCTACTAGAAATGTCTAAACTATAAGCTTCCAGTTATTACCTGCTTGAATGTAAATATTAAATGGAGATGTTGAAGGTGCACTTTCGCTGTTGGAGATTAGCGCAGAGGGAACTTCGGAGGCTCGGGAGGCGACTGGACGCCTCTCCGCACCCCACTTCCGCCTTAGATGGGGGTGGAGGTGAGAGGAGAACAGATCATGCCTTGAGCTAAACCTTTGCAAAAGCACAGGGGACTGGTTTCGCGGGCAGAGGCGCCCGCACCCGGCGAGTGACCCCGCTCCCCGGAAGTCGAGAGGCTCTCCAAAGGAGAGGGGAATTCCTGCGGGGGGTGTGTGCAGGCGTCGCTCCCGCCCCCAGGGCTTTCAGGCCTTCGGTGCCCACCGCAATGGCAAGCCCGGGACCTGAAGGGGAGGGGTGCCCGGGGGAGCGAGCGGCGCGGAGACGTGGGTGGGGCTAGCCCCCTGGGCCGCGCCCGCCCCGCACCTGCTGGTCTTCGCCCCCAACCCCCCGGGGCGCAACACACCTAGGCGCTGGCCCTGGTGGGGCAGAGGTATTCCTTCCTAATAACCCCTGCCCGGTAGGGCAGGTTCAGCAGGGAAGGGACCTTCCCACCCTCTCCAGCGTCCCTTGTTGGCATCGCTGGCCCCGCCCCACCGAGGAAGCTGCTGAGGCTCTTTCTCTGCCAGGCTCTCTCCCCGGAAACCACCAGGCCAGAGGCTCCGACTGGAGGCGCCGCGAGCGCGGCCCGGGCAGGGGGCGGGGGTAGGGGGTGGCTTCCTGCGTGGTGGATGGGGAGTGGGAGGGGGAACAGGCCTGGCGAGCAAGGCCTGCCTGCCCCCACTTCCTTAATGAGCCGGGAAATGTGGGACCCCCATCTCACCCATCCTGCTTTGGGTGGCAAAGCTGGGCCCCTTGGTTTCGCCGGGCAGGAAGGAGTTAAGGGCCCCGAAGGGGTGAAGGGAGTGGGCCGAACTCCGAGGTGTTGCTCCCCAGGGCCGGCAAGCCGCCACCGGGGTGTGCAGTGGCCGTGGCCAGCTATCTGCAGACGCAGCGATCTTCCTCCTGGCTGGGGTGGCCGAGCACGGCCAGGGGCCACGGGACGGAGGGCCTGGTAGGCGCGGGGCTGCTCCCGGCTGCCAAGCCTCTTGCCTTCCCGTCTGGGCCTGAGGGATCGAGCTTGTGCAGGGCGTCGGAACTCTAGAGGTCAACGCGGTTCATAATGGAGGGAAGGTGGGGGGGGGGAGAAGTGGCGAGGGAGCGCAGTGTTGAGAAGGCCAGGCGAAGAGATAGAGGGCCAGGAGGGCGGGAGGCCTGAATGCGGACAGTGTGGCCAGTGTTGGCTGCAGGCCACCAGCGGCTGGAAGTGGGGGAGGGGAGCCCAGCGGGGGGGGAGGGGAGGGAGGAGAGGGAAGGTCTAAAAAAAAACCGTTGGGAGTTTCTAGCCCTGGCTTTTGTGAATTGTCCCTCCCACTACCCTCATCACCCCAGCCCCCTTTAGAGTGAGTTAAACACTCCCCCTCCCCCCTCTATGTAATGAATGCCCTTTGCCACCCTGGGAGTGGAGGGAGGGGTGATCTTGACTGCTCCTGGCAAACTGCCTGCTCAGCACTAGAATTGGGCCTGTCCTTCACTGGCTGGTACACAAAGGCACATGCCAGGCGTGGATTTTGTCTCCCTGCTTTTCTGGTGGAGGAGAACTAAAAACTCAGGGGTGGGAAGGGGAGCTCTCAGGTCTGCACAGTTGGTGACTTGGGACTGAGACTTAGCCCCTGGAGTGCCCCTTTTGCCCAGTGGGTGGCCTCTGCCAGGCTGAGCCTGGGGCTCTGTTGGTGGGCAGGGAAGAAAACTGATCTGCTACCACTTGCAGAAAGGTATGGCCTTCAGGTGACTTGAGGCCTTGAAAACTGGGCCTGGTGGTGGGCCTCCTGGAGTGGGTCTTCAAGGAGAATGGTCCAAGGAAGAGCCTGGAACTTGAGGTCAGAAGGTCGGCAGTGGGGCAGAGGCTGGTGGGTAGGTTGGGAGGAGCTGCAAAGACGCCCACCTGGCATCAGACTCAAAAGTGTCCAAGGCCCCTTCTGGCCCAGGAGGAACAGAACTCTTGTTAGCTGGGCTCCTCAGACGTGCCAGGGGCCCCCTGAGCTTCTCGTTCCGTTCAGACCCCACAGGGGTTGAGGTTCCCTGTGGGATGAGAACCCGAGGTTCTGATGGCAGAACAGCCTGTCCAGGTCACGTGACCACTGCCCAGCTCTGTGCTGATTCTAGAATTAACCAGGTGGTCTGCTATCATCCTGCAGAGAGGTACCCCACAACCACTTGTCCCACACCAACCTCTCAGATGCAGATGTGTCCAAAGCTCAGGGACAGCCAAAGGAGGCCAGGGGCCCTGACATTGGGACAGGGGAGGAGAGTCCAGCAGCCCCAGGTCTTGTGGGTGCAGACTGCTTCTTCCTAACATGGGATCAAGGTGTCTGTCGAAGCCCCACACTTCACAGGCAAAGGGTCTGAAACCCTCTCTCTGAGCCCAAGTTTAGGGGAGAGAAAGAAAGCAGGAAGCTGGGATCTTAACCCTGCATACTAGGAGACCCAGACTTCTCTGATTTTTCTCCAAATGAACCTTTCTAATGAGGCTAAGCCATGAGTATAGAGGCTGGGGCTGATTCATCTCGAAGGGAGGCACTTGTGTATCCATTTATCTTTCAGAGGCTTGTCCCTCCTGCACCAGCCAGGTCCCAGACTCCAGCTTTGGTCTCCCTGTACCTCCTCCCCCAATTCATTTTCACAAGAGCCAAGTTCAGCCCTACAGTGTTTGCGCCATCCTTGGCTCCCACCAGGGTGCTTTGGAGCTAGGGTTGCCAGATTGAACACATAAAAATCAAGGATGCCCAGTTAAATTTAAATTTCAGATGGACAATGCACAATTTTTCAGTATGTCTCATGAAATACTTGAGATACAAACTAATCCTAAAAAATAAAATAAAATTCATTCTTTGTATGAATTCAGATTTAACAGGGCATCCTGGATTTTATCTGGAAACTCTATTTTGATCCTGAATAGTCCACTTGGGCAGCCTCTGCCCTCAGGGAAGTTTCAGTCCCATAGAAGAGAGAAGGTGCAGAGAACTGAGCCCCATGGATCCTGTAAGGGCAGTGATCATAGTGATATTGAGTATGGTGGCATGGCACAGAATGGCTGCTGGATGCCAGGGGGCCTTTGCTTGTGATTTAAGGTGGGGGTGGAGTGACATGTGACAAGACCTCGATAAAGGGGTGATGAAAGACCAGAATTAGTCCCCCCATCTGTTGGCCTACCTTGGGCTCCTGAGTTGAGGCTCCTCCCCACTCCTGCCCTCCCCACCACCACAGCAAAGTCTAGAACATACAAGGAAGGCAGAAGAGCTCCGGCTGTAGTGCCCACTTCCCTCACCAGAAACCCTTCTCTTCCTGAACCTCAGTTTCCTTGGCACCTTCAAAGACATGCCCTGACAGTGAAGATGAACTGGGTCGGGAAAGAGCCTTGAGTGCTTCTGGAAAACCCCCTAAGTAAACACATGGGTTATTTTTTTTTACCAGGGAACATTAAACATCCCACGTCAGATCCAAATGCCTTCTAACAACTCTGGCCCAGAGGCTCAGCTCAACTGAGGGACAGACATCCAGTGATGTTTACCTCTGAACTGACTGCTGGGTCTCCCTCCCCAACCCCTCCGTCTCCATAACCCAGCGGGCTCCACCCTGCCTTCGGTCCTCACTATCCATTTGGTGGATTACCCAGTTGATCTGGGACCTCAGCCTCAGCCTCTTCAGCTTGATCCTGGGACAGGATGACACTGGGACAGGAGAGAGCTAGGAGCTAAACTTGCACTTGGACAGAACCAAATCGTCGTGCTATTTTAACTGAGTTTCTCCCATGGTTCCACGTTATGTTTGCTGCTCATCTGAGAAGGTGAAGACTGAAGAGGAAATAATACTGAAGGTGGATATTCTGGGATGCAAGTGTCCATTTCCTGCAGCCGTAGTTTAGAACCCCACCCCCACCCCCTGCACCCTCCTCCTCCTCTCCCCCTTGTAGTTACTGCTAACAGCTAACATGGGTTGAGTGCCCACTACCTGTGGGGCACATCAGGGCGTCATCTCATTTAATTCTCTCTGTCTCCATGCAGTAGGTGCTGTTCCTGTCCCTATCTCACAAATGATAAAATGAAGGCTTAGAGTAACCCATCCAAGGTCAAACATCAGTAAACAGGGGAACAGACAGGGGTTCTGAGCTAGCCTTGTCTGTCTCCAGGGGCCATGCTCCCAGCTTTCAGGATTCTGCATGTCCTTCAAAGGCCAGCTCAGGTTCCATCCCCTCCCTGAGGTTGTTCTAGATTATTCCAGCCTTTACCAGGGCCAGCTGTGCCTGAACTCCTGAAGTATTTCCTGCCCTCGCCCCCCAAAACTCGAGTGCCTGGAAGGCAGGGGGTGTGTGTTGTGTATTTCATGGGCTCTCATAGCTTGCACACAGTTTCCAGATAAACAGCTTGGAAGCAGAGGTCTTGATGTGCACGTGTACAGAATCGTG